CGTGTCACGGGAGTTTCTCTGTCGAACGGGGCAAACCTTACAATCTACTGGTGTCTCTATTACAGTGTCCTGCAAAACTCTGACTCCCTATCTTGGCCTTCTGCTTCTCCCTTCTTTTCTGCTTTCTTGCCTCCGATCTTTAGCTGCATATTGAGTTCTGAGCATTTGCTACCTTGCCTTCCTAATGAGAATTGTGAGATAACTTCCCAGTTTTTGTAAGATGCATCATATGCATCTTTCTGGATGTCTTCCATAAAGATAGCATAGCTACAACCCCATGAACCATTTTAATCAATATTCTACAACCCCAAAACTCCCATGCTAATCTTTAAACCAGTCCAGAGTGATCTACCTCTGCAATTACTCTTCTTGGTCCTCTTCTTTAACAACTTTCACTAACATTTTTTCCATACCCAAATCCCTCACAACCTGCTAATTTTCCAAAGTAAGATCCTACATTAAAATTCTCAATTAATCTCTAACAATGGACTTAACTGAAACAGACCTCTAACTCAGGTGCCATCTCTCTCTATATATTTGAATGGCTTAGTATTTCTCAAAGAGGCTGATCCCATTTAACTGCAACACTTATCTTCAGTAGATAATTTCTTCTTCCCATCTCTTTTTTTCTTTTTCCTTTCCTTTGAAATGGTACTTCTTTTGTTGCTTCCTTCTGTTCTTATGCATCCAAAGGCTATTTTTCTGTATTGATTTAATATCTTTTTGATTTCAGCACCACTTAACAGTAAACCTTTAATAAAATTCTGACCTCTACGTCTTTTTCAAATAGCTAATTTCAGAATTGAAAAATTTGCTCCTCTCTCAGGGCACTTGCACATCGGATTGATGCTACTTGAATCTGAAGCCAAAAAAAAATTAAACCATAGGGCTAGCATAGAGGACTGCCACACAGAATGGTTTGTGGATTCTTAGGCAGAAGTTTTTGCATCAGAAAAATATGATTTGGAAGCCTTCCTTGAGCATTTCTTCCTTGAGGATTTTTCTTCTGCCCTCTCCTCATTATAATTTCTTCCTATAAAAGTAGCAAATGGTTTATTTCTTACTCCACTTATCTGCAATGTGTTTTAGAAATATTCTTTTTAGAAATGTTTATTTCTTTATTTCTTTCTTAGAACACTGCTTCTCTGTCAGAACTTTACTCATTTTTAAACTCAACTTTTCCTCCACTCGCCATCTTTAGATTGACTGGCATTTTTTTATAATGTACAAACAGAATCCTCAGAGTTCTGAATTTTTAAAACCAAAAATTAAAGGGAAGACAGATTACAAAGTAGGAAATTCAAAAACATTTGAAATTTTTAAACTGATCTACAACAAAGTTAAATTATTCGTGTTCATTGCTTTCTTTATATACACCAAATTTCCAGTTGCCTAGTAGCAACTGATTTATTTTATGGCGGTCTCTTTGAGTTGTACCATACCCTCAATAATGAACTCCATTTTTTATTGTTTCCATACTTCACTTAGTATCAATCCTTAGCTGTTCTATGATATGGCAATGGTAGTTCTTATGGGGGTGGAGGTGTATTATTTGCTCATATCTGCTCCAGGTTAGACTCCAACTGGGCAGGTTGGGCCAAGCTGCCAGGGGTATAGTCTGGTAATATAATCTGGGATGAGTTTGAGTCAGTGACTCTCAAGGAAGTGGACAGGATTCTCTTTGTGGTTATCTCGGCCACCTGTTTGTTGGACCCAGGCCTTTCATGGCTTGTTAAGGCAACCAGAAAGGTCACCTGTATATGGGTCCAGGCAGTGGTGTCAACCACCTTGAAGGAGGGAATGGTGTGCTTCCTCCTCAAGAGGTTGTCATTGGACCCAACTGTTTTAGACAACTATTGTCCTGTCTCCAACCTTCCTTTTTCAGGGAAGATTGTTGAGAAGGTGGTCAGACTACAGTTATGTCAGGGTTCAGGCCAGGATTTAGGCACAGAGACAGCCTTGGTTGTGCTTTTTTATGACCTATGTTGGAGCCAGAATGGGGCTGGTACATCCACCTTGTGCTTCTTCTCTTACCAGCTTTTAATATTGTTGACCACAGTATCCTTCTGACTGACTCCAGGGGTTGGGAATTGGGGACACCATTTTATGGTGGTTCTTTTCCTTTCTTTGTGTGGTGCCACAGGGCTCTACACACTCTCCAGCCTGTTTAACATCTACATGAAACTACACACACTTAAGGCCCTGGGACAGAACTTTGATAGCCTCACTTGGCTGCTCTGGGGTCAAAAGATATAGTTGGTATTGTATCAACATACTAATGATACCAGATCCCAAACCAGTGGATGACCTCAGTCTTATATTAAGTTCTCTTTTAGATTTGAGCAAGACAAACCACAGCTGTTTATGCAAATTTTCATTATACTATGGAACCCTTTGAGGTCAAACAAGGTAGTTTTATTTTGCTTTTTTAACTTACACTGTATACTGTTTAATTACCAGATTCCTTGGTCTGGAAGCCCAGTTACAAAACTTTAATTTGGTTTCTTTTAAGATATATTAAATCAGCTTTACTCATACTGCTTCAATATATCTGGTCTTACAAGGTCTCTATGTTACTAAAGATGTCATGAAACAGAAGTTTAGAACAAAAATGCTTGGATACATTAACATGTTATTTTGATCCTTAATGTTTATTACATTTTCTTGTTTTTCACAGATGATAGTATGGTTGGAAAAAATCCTAGATAAAATCATTAGCATATTCATTATATTTGTGCTAGTGATAGGCACGCTGTTGCTTGCTCTGCTCCTTACAGCAAAGGTACTGTACATGTCCTTTTAAACAGTGTAACATTTTTACTGAAACATTATTCATTCTAGTCTGCAGATTTCACTAACATTCAGTATTTTATTTCTTCTTAAAACTGATTTAATCAATGTATATTCTGATAATCACACTGAACGATCATAGTGATTGAAAGAGGAAAGCAAGCATTTAGGCACCAAGTTGCCCTCAGATCAGATAAGTGTGTTTTTCTAGAAAAAAAATAGAGGTGTGCACAAAGCAGGAAAAAAAACCTCTGCCAGCCAAGTTATCCCATCTGTCAGGATAATAATTCAAAACTGTGATATATTTAACCTCGTGAGTAGCCTGCAATGTATTCATTCTTCACTGTGGTATTGTATTAGCCTGCCCTCTTGTGTGAACATAGATAAGTGAATATTGACAAAGAATATACTGTATTTTTCTTTCCTTATTTTTCATTTGGTATAAAGAAGAATATAGAAGGTAATATGCCATCACATACATCATTATGGCTATAGATTAATTTCTTACAAGAAAACAAATATGAAATCTGGGCAGTCTGTAAAAATTAAAACACATTGTCATTCTCCAGAATGTGCTTGACATATTTGTGTTCAAGCTTGAGATCGTTTTTTGTATTTTAGCATATACAGGTAGTTCCTTGACTTACGACCACTTGTTCAGTGACCATTCAAAATTATGATGGCACTGAACAAGGGGACTTATGATCAGTCTGCAAAGTTGCAGCCATCGCAGAGTCCCCACAGTCACATGATCATGATCCAGGTGCTTGGGTGCCCGGCTCACGACTATGATGTTGCAGTGAGCCACAGTCATGGTCACAAGGCCATTTGTTGACCTTCCCTGCTGGCTTCCCACAAGCAAAGTCAATGGAGAAGCTGGCAGGGAAGGTTGCATGTCACTCCTGTAAGTTGCTCCCACTGCTTTTTCTCCCGAGGAGCTGGAGTATGAGATCCTAGGGATCTTACCCTGTAGCACCCTCCAGCTGCCCTCTCCAGCCCTCCCACTGCCCTTACCAGTCCTCCTGTGCTTTCCAGCACCTACTTACTGCTCTCACTGGCCCACCTGGTGCCCTTACTAGCCAGTCCATGCTTCTCAGCACCTGCCCACTCCCTTGCAGCACCCACCCAGCCCCACCATGCTCCTTACCTGGGACTCCCACCTCTTCCCACTTAATGACCTGTGCTTTATGCCCACATCACTTAGCAATGGTAATCCTGGTCCCAATTGCTGTAGTGACCCGAGGACTACCTGTAATTATGGATGGATCTTTGTTTCTTTGTTTATTTATTAAATTTATATGCTGCCCATCTCCCCCAGAGGGTAACTCTTTGAGACATAATGTTGACTACTCAAAATATTAGATACAGCACTATTGATTTGAGATTATTCAGTGTATGAGTTACACCTTCCCTACATGCATATGATATCCCAGCACACATCCAAAAGAGATAGAGTTTATGTCATGACCCTCATTTTGTCATTTACCCCCTTCCCACTGGCCTCTGGTGAAACCATGATACTCAAAAAGGTTCAGAGCAAAGTACAATGACCTGAGTGTAAACACTGCCACAGAAATATTTCTGGCAACTCCATGTGCCTACCATGTTGTGACTCTCTCTTATTCAAACAGACACTTCATCCACTTTTGTTTGTTTCATCTCTATACCCTGGGGAATCAGATGTGGGTTAATATGAGCTCAACTTGCTTCTTGTTCAGTATGCAACTTTTGAGCCATGAAGCTAATATTCAAAACTGCGCTACCCACGGTTCAATGTGAACTAACAAATATTGACCATGTCTTTGATCATGAAGTCAGCAATTAAACTTTGGCTTTCTTGATAAGTGCTATGAAGGAAATATCCATAACCTCAGTGTAAAGTAACATCAACCTAAACCTGAGTCCTGAGGAATGGGAAGTGCTGGAAATAACAGGAGATGTCCCCTTATCTGATTCCTATCAGAATGTAGTGAGGTGATGGTAAACAGAATGCACATTATGCTGGCTTGACCAGATATCCAAGGTCCTGCTACTCATTGCAGTTCCAATACTTATTTCCTGCATACCAATACAAGGAGGACAGCAGTAATGTGTGAAGCTGAATGGCTGGTCATCTTGCTTTTTGCCTACTATCTGTTGCTTCATCTTGCCACTAGTCAATAGCATAGTTCACTTACAGCAGCCAGCAAATGCAGTGATGCTTGGGTAATGCTTATGCAGATCTTAAGTGATCCAGATGTTGAAAGATGTTTGCTTCTACTGGCCTGTGTCTTGCTATGGGTGCAGGCAGCATAGCGTGTTGAACTTAAATCCAAACTAACATGATCCTATAAAAGATTGCTGTCAAGACCACAAGTCCTGCTGACTTTACTGCTGCTGCCTGTTGCGCTCCAGTACTACCACCATGGACTGAATTAGTGGAGGTAATGCCTCCTCCTGACCCCAGTCCTGGGCTGATATCAAGAGTGAGGAACAGCCGTCACTACATCTTTCTACAACTGTGCTAGGGAAGTTATTCTTTCCTCAACATTGCCACTATAGGAACAGGATACATATCAAGCCTGTGAATAGTTGACTCACTTTGATCACTTGTCCTCTACAGTCTCTTCCAAACATGACTTGTATTGGTGGGTTTTTCCCCCTAGGGTTGGAGAAGGTGGATCTTAGCTCTAAAGTGGGACAAAACCTTAAATTCGCTAATCAATGAACTACCAGAAGAGCAAAATAGAACCCCCACCAGCACTGGCAAGGCAGGCCACAGCAGATAAATAGAAAGCAAACCTCATCACATTTTAGCACTGAAGATGTTACCTAGCCGGGTAATGAAATGTTTGCAAGAAAAGAACCAAGCTCAGAGAACTCCAAGGACTCCACACTTAAATACACGCCTGTACAACAATGCAACCCGCCAGCATTCAAACTCAACATATCCATTCCACCAAATGTCACATGTACCTCTACCTTGAAAGACACACTGTGGACCACCTCCAATGCCTCCAGGCCTCACCAACATTGTCAAGTCCATCATTGCCACTGTGCAGCTAGCCCCTATACAGCTGATTTGCATGCCAGCTTGCTTTATGGCCTGCAGTTATTTTTAATGTATCAGTGTGGTCCTTTCCCCTCTATGAGTTGTCGGCCTGCTTAAGTATAAAGAAACGGGGTTTGTTCTTATTTAATATATGCCATGTGGCCCAGTAAAGATAGTGCTATTAAATGTACCGTATATATGTACTTATACAATTCAATAAGTATTGAATTGGAATTCCTTCTAAATAAACATGCAGGCCATATTGAGAGGGTTATTTGTGCTGAAGCAGATATAGAAAATTAATTAAATTTTACAGGAGATGAAAAGCAGAGGTATTATCCAACCTTGCATACGTCAGATGGAAAAAACAAAGCCTATTTAGGAATTTTATTCAGAAATTGAAATGCCAGCAATTTCTTGAAATGCAGAAGAACCATCCCAAAGTAATCCCTTATCTAAGGATGCAACAGATCAATCAGCCAAATGAACTTTGGATAAATTTGACAGATTATGCAGTCCAAAAGAACAATGGAAAATAAACATGGAATCCTGTAATATTGACTGAGAATTTGAGAAAAAAGAGAAAATGCTGGGGGGCTTTTAGACTCCTGGAATAGAAATAGAAAGAGGAGCTCCATCTAATAATTTTCAGTCTTGCCCTTTTCTCACTGCTGGCTTCTGTTGCCCTGGTTCACATGATCATACATTTATGCTTCTATTTAATGACATGCAAATCTGTGAAGCACTCCACACTGGTTGGTGAGTCAGGCAGCGTACAAGTTATGCAGCATCTGGTTTTTGGTCTGGCTTTGATCCCTGACCCATTAATGATCTTCAGTTTGGGGAAAAATAGGTGGTCTCCCTCTTTCTATCTTCTTAATCTAACCAGTGCTTGTATAGCTTTAAATAAAAAGCAATTGAAAAAAAAGTAAATAGTCCTACTAAAGGAGAATGGTGTGAGAGGGAAGTTGCTCAAATAGTCATCAAATGATCCTTAGCTTGTTTGTGTTAATATGTGATATCCAGCAGTACAGTAATAACAACAACAACAACATAAAAGAACTGGAAAAAATCACAAAATATAAAGACTTGCAAATAGAAGTAGAATGACTATGGCAAAAGAAAGCAAAGATAGTACCAATAGTTATAGG